TTCAGCAGCTAGTCCTGTCCAGGTGGATGTGTGTGAATGAACGTGTTGATTTTCTTTTTCTCAGAATACTGATGCTGTCCATCTTGCTCTGAAATTGAACGACTCTGAGCTAATGGGGAGGAAACTTAGAGTCATGCGTTCTGTAAACAAAGAGAAGTTAAACAAAGAGAAGTCAAATCCAGGTTGGAAAAATGTCAGCAAAAGTAAGCAGACACTTGCTTTTGTGTCCAAAAATGCGGCAGGGCATTCTCAAAGTTTATTTATCGGAGAAAAGGCTGTTCTCATGAAAAAGAAGAAGAAAGGACAGAAGAAAAGTGGACGGGCTAAGAAACAGAAGTAGTTTCCAGAGCCCCTCCTCCCACTGAGCGCTGCTGCTGTAGGTGGTATGGCTGGTGCGTCAGCGCCAGGCTTTCTGTGGACCCTGTCCGTTAAAGGGGGACCTCCGCATCCCAGTTTATTTACATTGTAGCACTCTGAAACGCTTCAGGTTATGTGTTTCTACTGATGTTGTAAGAGGTGACTTCAAACCGAGTATTCAGGTGTATAATTAACACTTCAGACAGTTATCTCCAGAATAAATAAACACTTCATTTATCTCCAGAATATTATTACTTGGGTTGAGTAAGTTAAAAAAATAAGTTTTTTCTTTTTTTTTCCAGAGATTTCCACTATAAGATGTGTATACTCACTGGAGAGACTGAGAGAGACAAGTGAGAAGTCACCTCCCAAGGGGGTTGTCCAGGCCACAGTCCCATCTCCTCAATTCTCCTCTCAGGATCTTGGGCATGCACATACACATGCCCAGTATTCGTTTCAAGTCTCCAGGTCCATGACTTGAACCACAGGCATGTGGGAGTCCAGTGACATAAACCATTACACCATCTGTTGGCCCCCCAAAATAAATAGAATTAAAGAGAAAAAAAGCAAAAAACTATGCACCTTAATACTGATTGTACTTAGACCAAGTATCCTAGTAATTTAAGTAAGGATGCTGATCCTGGGTCTAACCATAGTCTCCAAGAAGAAAGGTTTAAGTTATTTCATACCTGTTTGTTTTTCTTTCTTTTTCTAATAATTGTGATCAGCGGAGTTCTGGATTTTTATTTTATTGCATCAGCCTAATAATAACTAAGCAAAAGGAATAGTAAATGTTGCCCTGATTTCTTATTTTTAACCAGTGATTAGACTAATTCTTGAAGTACTTGGCAAATCGTCTGTAAAGCGTAATAGATGTCTACTTCTGTTTCTCTTTCTATTTGAAAAATATTCTCCTGGGACAGCTTGTGATCCCTAGTGTCCACCAGTAGAAGTAGAAAATATCTTTACCCAAACAAATCATTTTTAAAGAAAACATTTTCTAATAAAATATAGTAATAAGTTACAAAGTTTAACAAGGACAGAGAATCCCATGGCATTCTCTTGAGGCTTGACCTTGTGATAAGCTGGTGCCTCCCTCACAGGTCTTACCTAGGTAGGTCTGTCTCCACAGGGGAGACCCAGGTGGGAGTAAACCTCGGTGACTGATTTAAGCAGGTAGACTATACAGTAAATATATAACATATCACTTGGATTGATAAGGGGGTCAGTAGTTATTACCAAAATCTTCATGTCTCTCTCATGAAAGGGGAATTTTTTAATCAAAAAACTCACCAAGGTCCTTCCACTGTGGCAGAGGTGGTAGTACACTGGAAGCCACCTGGGCAGCTGCACATTTGGATCCCAAATAGACCTGAAACTTGGATGTGCGCCCAAGGTTCTGACTAGCTGGCAATCTAGGAAAGGAGAGTACAGCATGACAAGACTTTGTTGAGGGTGGAAGGAAGTCAACTTATTTAAAAAAGACAAAATCCTGTCTATTGGCAATAGCATAAGGAAAACATAATAGGTCTCTTAAATGTGTGTCTCGAGATCAGAGAGAGCTCCACCTGCTGTCCGTAGGATCCAGGCATTATATGTTGTTACCCCACATGGTGCTTAGACTCTTGCTTTTCCTTGGTGTCACTCAGTGCGTGCTCAGTGCCCTTGAGTCTGCTGCATTTCTATGCACATTTCCAGGTGAGATTCTGTAAAGGTGCAGCGTTTGGACTGTGGAGCTTTCGTGTGCACATGTAGTCTGCCAACATGACGCTGATCCCATGGAGGGGCATCAGTCAGTGTAGCAGGTGACAGATTTGAATTTCACTTCACACTTGTACCTTGTAATGGACATTTCTACTCTTTGTGAGAATGTGTGTGTGTGACTGTAATAGCTTAAAAAAGATCTGGTATCAAAGGACAGTATTGGGTGTTTTACAGAAAAATTCCACCAGAGATTTGAATTTTAATGCTTCAATAAAGACTTGTTTTTCATTAATCGTGAATCTCTCTTGTCTTTTTCATGAGCACATTTTCCCTGATTCTTCCTCATGAAGGTGTTTTTTGGGAATGATTCTGGGCTTAAATTGTACTTTCTTCCTGAGAATGAGAAGACACTGGAATGCTTCATGGCATCTGAGCAATAAGCACTTGCTTGCTCTAGATAGATCTGTATCCTTAACGCCATCATTCTTCTTCTCCAGGTTTCTCATTAGGGTATATCTGGGTTTTGTACCCTGCTCTGAGGCTCATTACCTTGGGCAAGTCTCTCAACTTTTGTACCTAAGTATCTTTTAGTTTTTTCTGTTTTTCTTTTTGTTTTGTTTTGTTTTTTAGATGTTTTTGCTGTAGGGCGCGTGCGCTCACCAGATGGACAGAGAGAGACAGAGAGATAGAAAGCGAGAAATCACCCCCCAGGGGGGATGGCCACGCCGCAATCCCTTCTCCTCCATTCTCCTCTTGAGATCTTGGGCACGCACGCACACACGCCCAGCGTGAGTTTAAGCCACCGGGTCTGGGTCTCAAACTGTGGTCGACTATGTGGGAGTACAACGACAGCCATTATGCTAACTGCTGGTCCCAGTTTTTTCTGTTTTTTTTTTTTTTTTTTTTTTTTTTTTTATTTTCACACAGGGCCGGGTGGCGATC